TCCTGTCGTTTTTACTCAGAACTACCCTTTTTCGTACCTCGTGGACTGGCGCTACATAATCACAAAGAACTGTATCAAATAAAAGAAACAACGTCATTTTAGAACTTTCGACATCAGCATCGACTAAAAAATGTCTATCACATGTAACTCGAAATTAGAATAATGACACAATCGAAGCGCTGACGTTCCACACTACTTCAGACAAAAGGTTAGGAAGGAAACCCCATCAATACAAGATAAAGAGATAACAGCTATTGGACTTGAGAAACCCATTTTCCTGAAAAATAGTTTTAATAGAAAGATTTTATAAATTTTAATCGATAGTAGCACTGGCAGCTCAGTCTATGAAAGTCGAATGTTTCCTTATAAGGAAACGGCTAATATTATCTTTACTATTACAATGACTATAATATAATATGTAACTATATATATATATATATATATATATATATATATATATATATATATATATATATATATATATATATATATATCATATTATATAACTTATAATCATATATCTCATACTTATATAGACTTACTGTAGACTTATATAAAGAGATTATTAAATATAAATAGGAAAACATTTAGTCAAAAAGTAAATGAGAGACAGAATTAAAAAAAAAATGTGTAAAATTAAAACATGGCCCATATTATCTGGTGCATTTGGAACTGTATAAAAAACGCTAGGGAAAAATTAGAGGGACTGTATATTTGAGATAGTCCCCAATACAGTAGGGTGGGGCTGACGAGGATATTGAGAAAGGTGCTGGAGGAGTCTTGCTGTCACATAATCCCAAACGACAAGAATGCGATATCTCGTGTGAACACGCTAATACATGAAATAAATAAAAAAATATATAATGATGATGATCGAACAATTTAGAAGAACCTTGTAAACAAATGACATGAACTGGGAAGTTGAAAAATTTTAGAATCATCCAGATGACAGCATTAGCAAAATCAACAAGGATACTGAGATCAATCCGGGAAAATTCAGGAGACTTGCTGTTGCTTGCTTTTCAAAGGAAGTCAAGAGATATTACTGATTGTAAAGATTCATATACGTACTACTACTACTACTACTACTACTACTACTACTACTACTACTAATAATAATAATAATAATATAATGCCATTGCTGGAAAATTAAGGGGAACTGCTGTTGAATACTCAAATAAATAAATAAAAATAATACAGAAGAGTGTGCTGGAAAACTAAAGGGACGTGATGTCGCTTGATTTTCATTGAAATCTAACAGATATCATTGGCTTAAAAACTCAAAAACCTGCTGAAAAATTAAAGAGACGATGTCAGTTAAGCTTCGGTGAAACTCAACTTTTGTTGGTTTGAAAACTCAAATAATAATAATAATATCATCATCTAAAAATAATAATAACAACAAAAATATAATATCATCCAATAATTATATCATCATATATTGATAATAATAATAATAATAATAATAATAATAATAATAATAATAATAATAATAATAGTAGTTTTTTTTTTACAAAAATTATCAGTAGAAAATTTCATAAATCCATTTCTGATCTTAGATCTCTAGTTAGGACCCGGAAGGTAATGTGCATAAAACAGAAACCAAAGCAAATAATAATAATAATAATAATAATAATAATAATAATAATAATAATATCTAATGAAAACTAACGGTTAATACTAAAATGTTAATAACATTTAATACCAAAAAGTACAAATCTTAATGATACTGAGAAAAATACAGAGAAGATTTCTGGAGAATTGAAGAATTTGCTCTCATTTGATCTCCATTGAACTTTCCTAGAAACTACTGATGGTAAAAAAAATAATATATATATATATATATATATATATATATATATATAGCGAGAGACAGAGAGATATATATATATATATATATATATATATATATATATATATATGAAGAGACAGAGACAGATATATATATATATATATATATATATATAGAGAGAGACAGAGACAGATATATATATATATATATATATATATATATATATATATATATATATATATATATATATATATATATATATATAGAGAGAGAGAGAGAGAGAGATAGATAGATAGATAGATAGATAGATAGATAGATAAAATAGATAGTATAAACGTTGACTATCGTCCGGCTCACCCTAGTAGAGGCTTATCTCTTGTTCCCTGTTCCCTGTTTTGGACTGGGTTTTGGGTTCCTTCTTAAGTCTTTTCATTCTCTTTCACTCCCAGTAAGCCCTCGCTCCTTAGTGGCATTATCACCTTGCTTGGGCGAATTGATTAATATATATATATATATATATATATATATATATATATATATATATATATATATATATATATAATACTAAGAATAGTGCTGGATTATTGACGTGCAATACCGTCACTTGATATGTATGAAATTTCATAATAATAACAATACCGAAAGAGAGTACTGGTAAACTAAGGAGACTTGTTGTCACTTTATCTCCAAATATAGTACCAAATAGAAGTGACTGAACGAGTACACATCAATCATAAGAAAAAATGATGAAGCCATTTGAAGTCGACCCCCTCCTCGATAGGGCCACAATGCCAATCTTGTTTTTTTTTTCGTTTTTGATTGTGCCACTATTCTTTGCTATTATTATGAGTTTGATAAAAGTTGAACCGCCACTTGTGGCTCATAGACGCGCATCACAAGTGATGGCAAAGAAAACTATCGTCTGCTTAAAGTAGGAAAAAAACATCACACACACATACATGCGCATGCGCGCACACACAGAGAAAGAAAATAAACAAAGATATAATTATGAACATACGAATACAGGAAAAAAGAAAAAAGAAAAAAAGAAGTTGCGCTTAAACAATAAACAGAAATAAAACGGAGACGCCGGGAAAAAAATCGTGAAGAGTTTTTAGAACCGTTATTGAGTTGACACCACCAACAATGCGATTTCGTCTCTGATTCGATCATTAAGATAGCTTCGAATCAAGTCAATAGTTTAGTTAACGTCGGTAGGAGCAGTCTGAGGGGGGAGGATGAGGATGAGGGAGAGTTTGATTCAAGAAAGAGTGGGTTGCTATGAGAGGAAAACGAGGAGGAGGAGGAGCCGATGTGCGATCCGTCTGAAGCTTTTTCTTTCTGCGGTGGGAGAGGCTCTGTTCAGTAACACGCCCATTGAGTAGAATGGGTCACGTGGTAACTGAAACAGGCCTTACTCTCCGTTCTCATTCTGCCTCGACAATTCCACTCCCATCCGTCCCTAACTGTCACCCCCCGTCACAGCTTCCTCAAGGAACTAGAACTGTTGACAAAGGGGGTTCACAAAGCGAACGCCAACACAAATCCTAACCGTATTTAATTCCAGAGCTGCACCGGGTGGCAGCTATACTTCTGACAGCATAGCTTAGGTGAGAAGGATCCGCCGAAAGAAAGACAGAAAGAGAGAAAAAAAAAGAAAGAAAGCAAGAAAGCAAGAAAGAAAGAACTGTCCAGAAAGGCTCAAAAAGAAAGAAAGAAAGGAAAACAAAGGAAGAAAGAAAGAAAAATCCCAGGAGAAAGAAAGGGGGGAAAAAGAAAGGAAAAGAAAGTGAGAAATTGAGTTAGAAAAAGAGAGAAAGAGTGTGTGTGTGTGAGAGAGAGAGAGAGAGAAAGGGAGAAAGGGAGAGGGAGGGAGAAAGGTAGAGTGTGTGTGCTTGGGGAGAAAGAAACAAGGGAGTCAAAGGGTGCGTGAGAGGGTATGGAGTGAATGGAAAAGAACGACAAAGAGAACGAAGCCAACAACAATAACATTAATAACTTTGACTTTCAACGATATTTCTTGCTAAAACCACAAACAATAAGAGATATTAGTTTTAAACTTAAATTTAAAAGCTAGATATTAATATCGAACACCGACTGTCAGTAAAATTCAAGCCTAAAGCAACAAACAAACAACAAAAAAAAAAAGAAATAAAAAAGCAAAACAAAAACAAATTCAAATGTAAACAAACAAAAATTACCTAAATAAGTTTTGCAAAAAAGGAAACGAATTTTACAAAAATAGATGTATAAAACGGAACAAAAACAACAAGAAGAAAACAAAGTGATTATTACAAAATAACAAAATCCCAGCAGTTAATTCTAAGAAGGAAGTTTAAATTTATTTCTTACTTCCGAACGATTTGCTATTTCTATAGGTTTCCTCTACGTAACTTTTAACATCGAAATAATTTTCACTTTCTCTCTCTTAACCTCACACATATACCCAACACACACACACGCGCACTTACTCTCACTCTCTTTCTCAAATACACATATACAGACACACACACACTCTCTGATTTCCCCACCCCTTCACTATTCATTTCATTGTTTCATACCCGCACACAGAAGAGAACTAGCAGATGAGAAATAGCAGAAAGGATATAAGACCATCTTAGATCAGACTCCGACAGCATTGCTTTTTACAGTGAGAAGAGAAACGCATACCTCACCGAAAAGGAAACAGAGATAAAAAAAAGAACAAAAAAAAAAAAAAAAGGAAAGAAAAAATTCTCCAGTAAATTCGGAGATAAAAAGAAAGAAAAATCGAAACCTTTCTCATTTCAATACACAACACTTTTCGTTAGACAACAGCAGGCGAAGAAGATAAAAAATATATAAACGGAAATATTTAAAGATTTTTACTGATATCGATCTTTTACAATTGAACAAAAAAAAAAAAAAAAAACGGTTAAAAAGTTTAATCAATCAAAAACGCGGATAAAACATTTTTTACACAAGGAAAATCGTTTTATTAACAAACACATAACTTGTGCTACCAACACATATCAACATAGACGTACACATTTATGATAAATTATTATTAACAACCAACTATTTATTTTAGATTTTATTTAATATATTCTAAAAAGTAATAAATCTCCCCACCAATTTTCTGCTACTTAAATCCAGGCAGAAAATAAATAAATAAATAAAAACAACAGAACTTTTAGTTAAGTTTATCGAACTCTAAAACGGGAGAATCATGTCAAAATCTAGTGCGTGTCTTGTCTACCTGATGTACTTATGTCTCTTGGCTGCAGCCCACACTTTCGATTTGCAAAAATTTTGTTTAAAAAGATGCGCTATCGGTCAGGGAGGTAACCTGTGTCGTTGTACCGCGCACCATTTCGCCGGGAAAAGGTCTGACACACATGCAGCGGCTGAAGCGGCCGCCGCTGCCGCCGCTGCTGCAAACCTGGACGTCGAAGGGCAGTCAAGACGATCTCGCATGGGGAACAACAATAACAACGAAGAAGATAAGGTGCGCATCTCCGGGGCTGAGGCTGGACCCGAAGATTTTCAGGTCTTGTCGATGAACGATGACCCGCTGAGTAATAGCCAGGTGCTCTACCCTTTGATGGGTATCGTACCTGCTGGTTCGCGCCGGGCAAGTTTGATGGGGCGGCTGCCGGCCGATGAGGAGAATATGGAACTTTTGCAAGGGGAATCGGGCCGAACTGATAGCAGCAGCAGTGATAAAGACAACAGTCGTAGCTCACTAAATATCCTGGCCAAACGGTATCGACGCTACAATCAACAATTGGCAGGTGGAGTACCCCCATCCTACAAGCGAATAAGGGCAGCCAGCTCCCCTGACAATACAGCCCAGCTAAAGGATGCCCTTGAGAAAGCCCTCGATAACAAGTAAGTAACAAAATAATATTTTTTTACATTTAAAAAAAAATCAGATTATAACATTTTTGGCACAATCCTGAACTTCCTCTTGCAGGATATTTCGATTTATTTATAATGGGTTGTTCTAAACGTTTGAAACCGGCTGAATCTTTATCTATACATTTTATTATTTCAAATATCTATCTATCTATCTATCTATCTATCTATCTATCTATCTATCTATCTATCTATCTATCTATCTATCGTTTCCTGCAAACTAGTTGGAACATTCCTATACTTGTTTGCGGCGGCGTCTGGATGCAGTGTCCGAACTCAGTTAAATGTCACGATTTCGAATGCTGATTTTCAAGACTACGACACTTCTTCACTTGATAGGCTGCTATGTTTCCTTCGTTGAATTCGGTGCTCTCCCTCCTCACGCCCTCTCTCTCTCTCTCTATCTATCTATCTATCTAAATATATATGTCTGTGTCCATGATATTTGAAGTAATACAAATGTCGGATTTAAATAAATCCATTAATTCTTTAGCAATATATATATATATATATATATATATATATATATATATATATATATATATATATATATATATATATATGGGGGGAAGAAATCACTTTTTTATACATGTTTGATTAAAGACGACTGACAAGGTGCTGCGGTTAAGCTTTTTATTTAATTTTTCTTGTGTTTGTAAAAGTTTTTTCTTTTCTGGACACAAAGTGTGTAAGAATTGTCCATATTCGAGCGCTTTCGGCTATTCTTTTACCCATTATCAAGGATGGTTTTTGTTCTTTAATTTTTAACCGAATGTGTGGGTTTTCTTTTTTGGGGGGGACGTGTTTGAAGTTATAAGAATCAGTATAAGAATTTTCCAAACACGGTCAGCACATTGTGGCCGTGTTCATAGTTGATGTTAGTAGGCGTTGGCTTTTCCTTTTTTTTATTATTAGGGTTGCCAGTATTTTAAATATTTTTTTTTTTACATGTGTATGAGGCGATTATGCTTTTATTTTCTACACATTTTGCATTCAGACAAAAGCACACTTGTACAAACACAAGAAAATTGAAATAAAAATATTAACCGCAGTAACTTGTCATTCGTCTTTAGCGAAACACACACGCCCCCTTATATATATATATATATATATATATATATATATATATATATATATATATATATATATATATATATATATATATATATATATATATATATATATATATATATATATCTATATATATATATATATACACACACACACACACACATATATATATATAACACAAACACACACTCACACACACATATATATATATATATACATACATATACATACATACGTATATATATATATATATATATATATAACACACTCACACACACATATATATATATAACACAAACACACACACTCACACTCACACACGCGCACACACACGCACACACATATATATATATACATACGTATATATATATATAACACCCACACACTCACACACGCACACACACATATATATATATATATATAACAAACACGCACTCACACACACACACATATATATATATATATATACGTATATATATATATATATATAACGCACACTCACACACGCATACACTCATATATATATATATAACACAAACACACACACACACATATATAAATATATGTGTGTGTGGGGGGAGGTGTACTTGTTTAGAAATGGTTGCAGTAGCTCTGAGTTTATTTTCAGAATCTGGAGACGGTGTCCGAACTCATGCTGGATAATACGATTTCGAGTACGGGTCTTTAAATACGGGAGGGGTTACTACCCATGAAACATTGGCGCAACACTGTCTTCTCCTTTTAATTTAGCCAGTTGACTGTCTAATCTAATTATCTATTAACCCGCTTGATAGCTGACATAGTTTAGTACTTCTTTCTGCCATCCGAGGTCAGGCTTTGAACAAAGTTAAAAAGTATTTCAAATATTTATTCAGAATTGTTTTGTAAAAATGGAACGCTTGTCTTTCTCTCCTCCAGCACAGCTGAAAGTACATTAGTAAAATTTATGATGCGTACATGGAACAAAGGGTGACGTTGTTATCTATAACATACATACAAAGACACAAAGTAAGTAATAATAAAAATAATACACACAAACATACATATATAAGTATATATATGTGTGTGTGTGTGCGTCTGTTTGTGTGTATATGTGTATTGTGTATGTACGAACTAACATGCATACGTCTGTATGCATGTGTGCCTCTGTATATGTGTCATCCCAAACAAACACAGAAGAAAATTTCCCCCTCCACGACATGCAAACAATCAAACACATATAAAGCATAAATAGATCCACTTTTGAAAAAATAAACCAGTTTGCCTGAAGATCGCGAAAGCGTGAAACCCGAGGTTACAAAGTACTATCCATGCAACCACATATATATATATATATATATATATATATATATATATATATATATTAAAACACGTAAATTTCAGAAATACGTTATTCCAAAAAAAATTTCGCTTGAAGATGGAACAGAGCTTACTTTATCTCAATTTAATTCAAATAATTATATTGAAGTTTTGGGCTCTTGTTTTGAAACATGAGACCTCTTATGTCGCGAGTTGGAATCATATTTTTAAATAAATAATTATATTTATGCTCTACTTTTGTATCGAGCACTATTTTTAAAAAATAATAACAAAAATACTAAAGAACTTTGGATTATTTACCTAACCAGTTTCTTCCTATTTTCTATATATTTTCACACACACACACACACACACACACACACACACACACACACACACACACACACATATATATATATATATATATATATATAAATATAAATATAAATATAATGAGGAGGCACTAATATTGTTACAATTTTTGCAACCATGTGAAACTATGCCAGAATACTAGACGAGAAATGATCACTCTCGGCTAGGCTCATGGGAAAGAAAGTCATGGAGGGCCGAAACTTTCTATGACCCCAGAGTAGACATCACTGAGAAATCATTCTGGTGCGTAATATATGCGTATAAACTGAAAATATCCTTAAATAAAAAAAAAATAAAAAAAATATGGCTGTACGTGGGCGGATCAATAAGTTCGTAGTTTGACACAGATTAGCTGAATTTTAATCGAAAATGTTACTGCATAATGTCCGATCGATGTTATCTATAAAGAAGTGTGTGTCTGTGTTGGGGAAATTCAATGACGAAGGAGAGATTATATAGAAAAATAAATATTTGTAAAAATATATACTGTTTGCATGAATAAGCTACATACACACACTCTCTCTCTCTCACACACATATATATACACACAAATGCATATATATATACACACAAATGCATATATATATATATATATATATATATATATATATATATATATATATATATGTTAAAAATTCTCAGTTATATTAATATAATTATT